CAGATTATGATGAGATCTGAGGTGAGACGTAAACAGCAAATATACGAGGCCAGCGATTGTGTAAGGATCTATAAGAGAACAGGTGCTGCTGGCAGGTGCACCACTGACAACAAGAAGAAGAAGAAGAAGAGAGGCACAGACGGACGAGGAGGAGAAGAAGAAGAGAGGGAATACACACACAGACAGAGAGAGAGAGACATGGGTAGAGAGAAAGAGCACAAAATAGACAATACAGAGAGAAAGAGGGAGAGGAGAGAGAGAATAAGGAGAGAGGGGGAGGAGAAAGAGGAGAGGGAAAGAGGGATGAAGAGAAGAAACAGACAGACAGCTAGATCAATGGATAGATAGATAGATAGATAGATAGATAGATAGATAGATAGATAGATAGATAGATAGATAGATAGATAGATAGATAGAGATAGATGGATGGATGATGAGAGAGCGATGGAAGGAGGGAGGGAGGGAGGGATAGATAGATGAATGAGAGAGATGGATGGAGAGATAGAGAGAGATAGATGGATGGATGAATAGATGGAGAATGGAGAGATAGAGAGATAGATAGAGAGAAGAGAGATGAGAGATGAGGATGAGATGGATGGATGGATGATATAGATAGATGAGATAGATAGAGAGATAGATAAAGAGATAGATAGAGGATGAGAGGATAGAGAGATAGAGAGGTGGGTGGAAAGCAAATGTCACCTAAACAAAAAAAACAAAAAGAAAAAAAAACAATTATTTTCTCCTCACCTGTCGACAGGTGACCTTTACTTCACTGTTTCACTCTGAGCTTGGCTTTTATTTAAAGAGTAAAATATGATGGTTTGGTTTTGTCTGCTGTACTGCTGTAATCTCTGACACTTGGATCACTATTTTATATTTTCTACATTTTCAAAAAGAAAACAAAAAACTAGCAACAAGATCTGGAGGTGAGTTGTGGAGCTCTGTGGGACTGAAGCTTCTGCTCCTGACATGCTTCATGCACAGGATGGATTTCCCTCATGAGGGATCTGTACAGTGTACCTGATCTGACCTTTCAAATGGAAAAAAAAACAAGAATCTACTGCTCACTACACGAAGAGAGGGACATACAGACTTACAACAATATTTTAAATCATGATCCACTGGTGTCATAACTATGTACAAAAGCACAATATGTCTTCTTGAAAGGTTAAGATTATTCACTCTTTAAGCCTTGTTAGAATGTAGTTCCCTCTTCAAAAACAAACCAAGACTTGTGTTTGTTTCATTCACGTGTTTGAGTAACTCTTTATTATTATCACTGCTATAAAATTCTCTGTTCCACTTTGTGATGTCATGAAGCAGTAGTTTTTACGTTTCGTTCAGAAGAGATTTCCAGGTTTGAAATTATCCACATGATTTCATTTGAGAGAGATATATTCTGATTGGTCTTTGTGTCTCAGTCAAAGGTCTCAGAGCAGTTTAACAGGAGGACTGGTCAGGGAGGGTCAGCAGATCTGTGTCAGAGCAGTTTGAGGAGAGCAACAGCTCTCAGGACAAAAGTGCCCCTCCTCTGTGTCCTGCAACATCACAACAGTGTCCAGGAGGAGCCAGGTGAACACAATAGGAAAGGCCTCGTTCTTACTTCGCTCTGGTGTTCAGGTTGATGATGAAATGGTCCATTCAATTGAAATATTTCTTCTGGAACATCTTCTTCCACACACTATATATGGCGTAAAAAGTCTGTAGCATCACAATGTCCACAGCGAGCTTCTCAGAGAGGCTTATCTAGCCTTTTGCACGGTGAATGTTTAAAAATACAGTGGAGCTCTTCCTGTATTATCACATGACATCTCAATATGAAACTGAATGTTTTCTGTTTGCGAAAAGACCTCATAGGGAAGCTGAGAGGGGTCACAACAACACTCAATTTTAATGCAAACGCCGCAACAAATACAAACGCCACAACACATTAAAAAGCCACAACACATTAAAAAGCCACAACACATTAAAAAGCCACAACACATTAAAAAGCCACAACGAAACTGACCGCGGGACTCTATTTTCCGATGAACCGATCAAGCGGCAAGTGAAGAAGAAGAACTACAACGTGAAAAGTAAAGGAACGGAGAAGTTGGAAACATAAGTAAAAGTAATTTATTGTTTTATCATTATTCATTTCACGTTCTTCACTTGCCGCCTGATCGGTCCGTCGGAAAATAGAGTCCCACGGTCACTTCTGTTGTGGCTTTTTAATGTGTTGCAGCATTTGCATTTGTTGTGACCCCTCTCGGCTTCCGTATGTTTGTGACTTAGAAAAAACACTAGAACACAATAGATCAGAAAATAGAGTCATACGGGCCCTTTAACAATAGGCGAGTTTCATTGTTGACAAAAGCGCGCGTTGCATGCTGGGAATTATTTTGGTCGGCGGCAATAAACACTAATTCAACATGACGGACGGAGCGAGAAAGCACGTAAAGGGTATTGATCCCGGTTATTTATCCACTCTCCATCGATGGACGCCAAATCACCCTTTTCAACAACTACAAAAGGTGGACCAAACCAAATTTCTGGTCGGAATCGCCAACTACCTGGCCAAATATTCACTTCGGCGATATCCACAATGACTTGGTGGAAACTCCTGGGCCATTCACAGCAGAAAAGATGAAAGCCTCCAAGAGTCTCGATGTGTTGTTGAACTTGTTGGAGTCCACGGTTTGTTAGGATCTTCTACGTTTGCTCTGCGAATATTTGAAAGTCATTTAATTCACCGTTAGCGGTTCTTTTCACTCAGAATACCAAAAAGACATTTTCCTTCTTCCGTGCTTCTATTTGTGCATCCGATAATGCAGCAGGAATTTACCATTATCGGGGATAAATACACGCACTGTGTTTGACCGCTATCGTGTTTCTTGCCTCCGACCAAAATATTTCCCAGCATGCAACGCCGGCTTTTAATAACAATGACGTTGGCTGAAACTCGCCTATAGAGTACACCAACAAGACCCTGTTATTCCTGTTCTCTGTGATGCGTGAGAAGTGCTTTAAATCTTCTTTAAATGGTGTAAAACTGTGGAATATCACATTAAGTAAACTCCAAAAGTGCAGTCGTTTTTCAGCGCACTAATGTTATCCGATAGAAGTCATGCTGACATTCTGAGCGTGCGGGTGTTCAGACAGAGCAGAGTCTGGATATATCTGTGTGAAGCTCCTCTGCGGGTCACATCGATCTGTCCTGGGTTACACAGCCCACAGCCCAAGGACGTCAGCGCAGAGAGGAGAGCGCTATATTTAACCAAAACTAGACATATTTATGTTTCACCGCGCCAGTGTTCTACGTCAAGTGTAATATTAGCATCCATCACAAACACAGACTTCAGCCAAGAAACAAGCCCGATCAAGTTTAGAGCAAAGAGAAATGTTTTAGTCTTGATTTGGTTCTGGTTCAGTCCTGGTTCAGTTCTAGTTTAATCTTATTTAACTACAATTAGGCATCTTTAAGTTTCACTGCTGCAGTGTAATATTAGCATCCAAAAACAAAGCAGCAACTTTAGACGACTGACAAATTTAGACCAAGAGTGAGGATGAAGAGGAAAGTCCGAGTTCAGTCCTGGTTTGGTCTTGGTTTAGTCCTGGTACAGTCCTTGTCTGGTTGGGCTTCAATTCTATATCAATACTGGTTTAGTCCTCGTCTCATCTAAATTAGACCTAAGCATGAAAATAGAAAAAAAAAAGTTCTTGTTTAGTCCTGGTTTAGACCTGGTTTAGTCTTGGTTCAGTCCCAGTTTAGTCCCGGTTTAGACCCGGTTCACTCCCGCTTTAGTCTCGGTTTAGTCCTGGTTTAGTCTTGGTTTAGTCCTGGTTTAGTCCTGGTTTAGTCCTGTATTGTAAAAAGTCATGGTATATTTATATATGAGTATTTATGTAGGAATTGTAGAAATGCATTTTTTTTTCCATTTGTAAACATCTTGACAAGATCTTTACAGTCAGAATAGAAAGAATTCAGATTTAAAAGTGCTTAATAACAGTTATTTGTCATGAAGGATCATGTTCTATGTCGTTCCCTCTGTATTTTACTGTATTGTACTGTATATTACTGTAGTACATTTGATGATACCACAGTACACACACATAGTACTTCAGTTACATCCAAATTAACAGAAGTGGGAGGGACATGTTCCAGTTTTCAGCGCCACATTTATCAACTGTAAAGAGAAAAGTATTTTATAAAAACATAATTTTTCAGAAGAAGTAAGTCTTAGTCCATTTTATTGAGTCTCAAGTCCTAAAAATAGTCACAACTTGTAAGTCCCTACCTCTGCAATTTAATATAAAGATTTCAGTGTTTCCAGTCATTTCTTTCTCTTCTATAGTGGGACTCTTATTTAGAAGATAGAAGATATCGGTCTGTGGAAATAAGCTCTGCCTAAATTCATATAAATGAGTGAATAAAGGTGATTCTACAGTGGGGGCATTATTCCATGGTTAAATTGGCCTTTAGTTGGAGCCTATTTGAGCAGAATATGACTGTCCAAATGAACTAATGCAGATTCATATAAATGAGCTGAAATTTGACATAACTAAGATATAAAGTGTGATCACTTTGTGCAAACAGCATCAAACCCACATCTCTAATCCAAAGAAATATGTTGTAAAACTGGAGAGGTCAAGTCCCTTATTTCGACGGGGCAGCCCATTTTGACAGAACACCGGCTCTTTTGCACTCTGGACAAACTCTTTAGGAGCTTTCCATGCCCAAACCAGTTTGGCTTGTGTGACTGACCCTAACGCAGGAGAAAGAAGAAGAAAATTCTTGAAGTAGCTCTGATTCAGTCCTGGTTCATACCTGTACTATGTTGTGTTTAGTGTCGTCTCTGTGGTTATATGTTGTGTTTGTGTTGCGTGGTGTTAAGTGACCTGCAATTTCCTTGACGCTCTCCACCCTCATGTCCAACAGCACATTGTCACTGTAGTCTACAGCGGTATGTTGTTTCTATAGAACTACTTAGTGTTTTGTGTTGTGTAGAGTGTAGTACCTGCGATCTCCTCGATGCAGTCCGCCCTCATGTCCAGCAGCACGCTCCCATTGATGATGCAGCTCCTGAGCTCAAACAGACTGTGCAGAGAAAGAGTGGCCACGTACGGTTTACTCCAACGCTCTCCTCCATCCTCCACATCCTCCTCGAACTTCAGCCACCTGAAAGAGAACAGGCAGAACATCTACTACAGTTCAACTTCAAAAACCTGAGAGAGACACAAGACAGAACATATACCACAGAACTTCAACTACTATGTGAGAGACACCACACATAACAGGTACCAGAGAACTTCAACCACCTGAAAGAGACACAAGACAGAACATGTACCACAGAACTTCAAATACCTGAGAGAGACACCAGTCAGAATGTGTACCACAGAACTTCAACCACCTGAGATAGAGACACCAGACACAACATGTACCAGAGAACTTCAAAGACCTGAGAGAGACCACACACAACATGTACCATAGAACTTCAAGAGACCACACAACATGACAGAGAACTTCAAAGACCTGAGAGAGACCACACACAACATGTACCATAGAACTTCAACCACCTGAGAGAGATACCAGTAAGAATATCTACTGCAGAACTTCAACCACCTGAGAGAGACATCAGTCAGAACATGTACCAGAGAACTTCAACCACCTGAGTTAGAGACACCAGACACAACATGTACCAGAGAACTTCAAAGACCTGAGAGAGACACCAATCAGAACATGTACCACACAACCTCAACCACTTGAGAAAGACACAAGTCAGAACATGTACTACAGAACTTCAACCACCTGAGAGAGACATCAGACAGAACATCTACTACAGAACTTCAACCACCTGAAAGAGAACAGTCAGAACAATTACTACAGAACTTCAACCACCTGAGAGAGACACCACACACATGTACCACAGAACTTCAACCACTTGAGAGAGACACAAGACTAGATTTGTAGAGCTCTTGTCTCCATCTTCTTTGTGCATGTATTTCCCTGTGTAGTGTTGCAGGTTTTTCTCAGACTCACCGTGCGGTCTCCTTCCACTCAGCATCCTTCCCGTCGCGGACACAGATCTCGTCCAGCTCCGTGAACAGGTCGTGGGCCTCGTGCTCCGCGTCCTCCTCCGTGCCCAGGATGAACTGCACCCGCTGGGATGGAGTGTCTGTGAGAGAGGGAGGCATGGAGGAGAGGAGAGTCAGGTGAGGAACTGTGCACTACAACAACTACAGATGCAAGGTAGGGGTAGGGGAAAAAAAGGATTTAAACAGCACATTTTCAGGAGCCTGTGATTAATACTAGTGTTTTGCCTTTTGGTATCTTCTTATATTGGAATCTAGCATCATGACAATCCAGAATCTGAAACTCAGTAACAAGCTTTTGTACAATCTGAGTCTTGGTTAAGTCTTTAAGTCTAACAGGATTCATCCAGACCTGGGCTCAGACTTAGTCAATGAGTAACTATTTATCAACACAGGTTAATAGACTTGAGTACCTACCAACTAATCACTTTATTTGACTTTAGAATGAAGCCGAGTTTAAGATAGCAAAATCAAACCCGGCTGAAACAATGCAGCTTTATAATAGTTGAGGTTTAGGAGGAGGAGTTCTGAAGCTCTCTCTGTAACCATGACGATTATCTATTGTCTAAACTGTAAACATCAGCCAAAGTAAACAAACCCAAGACTACCTACTGTTTTCTCAGATTTCCTTTGGAGTCTGTTATCTTCATCTTGAGTGTAGGTCTACGTTTGATTATTACAAAGTGGCCTCGTAAACATTTGTATATTTGTGGAAATAGTTGTTGATGGCTGCTTCAGTTATTCTAAATTTGGATTATGTTCTTCTAGTGCGACAAGTTCTGTCCTCAAATGGTCCAGGTTGTTTTCAGGAGCAGAACCTTGAGATGTTGGGTAAGATGTTCATTCATAAATGCCTCATTTGGAGACAGTCACCAGAACGGTGAGCAGAACGGTGTATTTTGTCCATATGTGCTCTCTCTGCTTCTTCTCTTTTTTTTTTATCTCTCTTCTTTTTCCTCCCTGTTCTCTCTCTGCTCTCTCTCCCTTCTCTTTCCTCTCTCTGCCCTCTCCCTTCTCTCTTTGTTCTCTCTCTGCTCTCTCTTCTCTTTCTTATCTCTCTTCCCTCTCCTCCCTTTTCTCTCTCTGCTCTTTGTTCTCTTTCTTATCTCTCTTCTGTCTTCTCCCTGTTCTCTCTCTGCTTTCTCTTGTCTTTCTTAACCCTCCTCCCCATTCTCTCTGCTCTGTCTTCTCTTTTTTATTTCTCTTCTCTCCCCTCCCCATTCTCTCTTTGCTCTCTCCTCTTTCTTTTCTCTCCTCCCTGTTCTCTCTCATTTCTTTTTCATCTCTCCTCTCTGTTCTCTCTCTGCTCTCTCTTTTCTTTCTTATCTATCTCCTCTCTGTTCTCTCTCTGCTCTCTCTTTTCTTTCTTATCTATCTCCTCCCTGTTCTCTCTCTGCTCTCTCTTCTCTTTTTTATCTCTCTTTTCTCTCCTCCCTGTTCTCTCTCTGCTCTTTCTTATCCCTCTTCTCTCTCCTCTCTCTCTTCTCTCTTTGCCCTCTCTCTACTCTTTCTTAACTCTGCTCTCTCTCTTCTCTCTCCTCTCTGTGATCTCTCTTCGCTCTCTCTCCCTTCTCTCTTGTCTCTTTTCCCTCTCTCTGCTCTCTCTTCTCTCTTTTCTCTCCTCCCTCCTCTCTGCACTCTCTCTCCTCCCTCCTCTCTGTCTGCTCTCTCTGTTCTCTGGAGTTGATCTGTGCTATCGATGGACGCCTCTGGGGAATGGGACCCTAATGCATCCGGCTCTGGATCTACACGCCTGCTCCTGTCTGCTCCAGTCCAGTCTGCACCTGTCTGTCAGACCTGCTCCTGTCTGTCTTACCCCTGAAATGTAACTCTTACTACTAAATACTTCTACCCAAATAAGCAAATGAAGTATGAAGTAGTATGAATGAAGCAGAAAAGTTATAAGTATATTTGTGTTTAAGTTTAGTTCTGGTTTGAGCCGAGTCTAGTCCTGGTGTAGACCTGGTTTAGTCCCGTTGTAGTCCGGGTTCAGTCCCAGGTTTGTCCTAATTCTGATGTGGGGTGTGAATTAGCTGTGTGATGAGGTCCCGTTGACCTTGCTGGCACAGCGAGCACTACTGTTGGCACGAAACCAGACATTCAATTAGTTTTGGATGTGTTAAGAGCGTAAGCGCAGCATGTGTGACGACTAATGGACCATGAACTGCCCTATAGGAGCAGTGTCTGGAGTAACAGACATGTTATTACTGTACAAGTCAAAATTATTGTAATGCAAACTATAACAAATTATAACAAAAGTGACAGGAATAACAGTTGTCTCATAGTAATTTGGGCTTTTACACATTGTGAGAGGAGGAGCAAGTCGTACAGTAGTAGTAGTAGTAGTGGTAGTAGTAGTAGTAGTAGTAGTAGTAGTAGTAGTAGTAGTAGTAGTAGTAGTAGTAGTAGTAGTAGTAGTAATACTAATAGTAGGAGTAGTTGTAGGGGCAGTTGTAGTAATAATGGTATTGATGGTGGTAATAGTGGTAGTAAAAGTGGTGCTAGTAGTAGTATTAGTAGTTGTAGTAGTAGTAGTAGTAGTAGTAGCAGCAGTAGAAGTAGTGATACTAGTAGTAGAAGAAGTAGTGCTAGAAGAAGTAGTGCTAGTAGTAGTAGTATTAGTAGCGGTAGTAGTAGTAGTAGTAGTAGTAGCAGTAGTAGTAGTTGTGGTGGTGGTGGTGGTAGTAGTAATAGTAGTATTTTTAGTACTAATAGTAGTAGTAGTGATAAAAGTAGTAGTAGTTAGTAGTAGTGGTGGTAGAGGTCGTAGTAGTAGTACTAGGACTAGTGGTAGTAGTTAGTATTAGTGGAAGTAGTGATGGTAGTAGTAGTACTAGTAGTGGTGGTAGTAGTAGTAGTAGTACTTGTAGTAGTAGTAGTAGTAGTAGCAGTAGTAGTGGTGATAGCAGTAGTAGTAGTAGTTGTAGTAGAAGTAGTAGTAGTAGTTGTAGTAGTAGCAGTACTAGGACTAGAATTAGTAGCAGTATTAGCAGTAGTAGCTGTAGTTGTTGTAGTAGAAGTAGTAGTAGTAGTAGTAGTTGTTGTTGTTGTTGTTGTAGAGCACCATTGATTTTTTTTATTTTTTTTTTGCCATTTAAGATCTGCGGGCCAAGTCCAGTACTCATGCTCCTCCACTGGGTCGCTCCCCTCCTTCAGAGCCACCTAACTAGAAGCTGGCACCTGGCACACTCTGCCTGGCACACTTCACCTGGCAAACTGCACCTGTCTTTCTCTGGCAAACAACAACATGCTGGAGTCAATCGTGAGGCACAGCTTTTTATTCTCACTGGGTTACTCTGGGCTAGGATTTCAACAAAAAAAAAGTAGCAGTAGCTGAAGTAGTAGTAAGAAGCACAGATGCCAGTAGTAATAGTATTTGTGATGGTGGTGAAAGTCGTTACAACCATTACCTGCTATTTTATATGAGTATTTATATATGAGTATTTGTGTATGATTAGTAGTAGTAGTAATACAGTTGCCCTCTAAAAACTAAATATAAGATCTTTTAATTAAATGGTTTAAAGTCCTCAAAATCGCGTCCATAACAGAAACCCCATGAGTAGGCTATAGTATCTTGAGTTACCATGGCTGATGCTCTTCTCTGGCTCGTCGCTCTGTGGGGTGGTGGCGCTCCCAGACCTCCTCTCTCTCCGTCGGTGTCTGGAGCCGTGGGGCCGGTGGTGTCTGTGGCTCTGACGAGGCATCCGGACCCCCACGTACAGGGTCCGGTGTCCTGGAGGAGAGGAGACAGAAAATTAGTGTTGAAACTGGATACTCGTTTGAGCAGGTATCAGTACTAAAAAAAAAAAAAAAAAAAAAAGTCCCACTGACAGAACAGAAATGAACCTTTACTGAATAGTTTTAGAATCATCTTGAACTGAATCAGAGCACATAGACTAATGTACACCCATGGACCACTATGAACCTACTGGACCAATGAGGGATTACACACATACCGTAAAATCCAGACTGTTGAGTGCACCACCTAAATTTTAATAACATTTTAAAATTGTACATATATAGGCCGCACTTAAATATAAGCCAAAGGTGTCCACATCTTCAAGAACGTTATTAAGTTCAGGCTTCTGCTTTTATCGCCTCTGAAAACTTCTGTCGTCTTTTTGCTTTGAGTCAGTTCGTCACGCTGCCGTCGCCAAAAGAAAGAAAGAAAGAAAGAAAGACTTTTTATTATCATCGTGGTGTCAGGAATCAGTACTGGGCATTAAGTTTATTCCTTGGTATAGAGACCCTGATCCACTTCTTGTGGTCCAGCGAGCCAGATCGCCAATAGACTGCCATTGTAAAGTGAGCACACTTTCAAGTCATTCCTTTAATTTTCACATTAAGACGCATGCCAGAAAAGTGTTGAGCACAGAGCTGTAATCAGCAGAGAGATAAAGACACAGGGCTTCAGTTGTATCGAATCTCGGTTGAAGCTGACAGACGAGATAAGAGGAGCTGCGATCAGTGTGCTAAATACCCGTCAATATTCAGGGTCCCCATCTCTGAATTGTTGAGCAATACAGACTCAAATGTAAAAAAAGAAAAAAGACACCATGGTGGATGCCACAGACAGCCTAAACCGAAGAGGCTTCATTCAACTGATTCAGCGTATAAAATAAACTTTAATAAACATTTAGCCTTGTGTGAGAAATGCTAAAGTTGGACTAGACACAAACCAGAGTCTGCTGCTGTTACCTGAGCTCAGTGCTCTAGTGATGTAAAGTTCTTTTGCATTATTCTGATGACAAAATCTTGGTGATACGCAAACTCGTCTTCAGTTTTAGTGTTAATTTGATTGAAGTCAGTATACAGTGAAGTCCCTGTTTTGACTTGGTATAATCCTGTAGATCCGGTTTAGATCTGGCGGTATTCAGAAGACTACAGATTTTCTAAGTGGTTCTTGGTGTGGACATTTTACTAGTAGCAGTAGAAGTAGTAGTAGAAGAAGTAGTGCGCGTGGTAGTATTAGTAGTAGTAGCAGTAGTAGTAGTAGTAGTAGTAGTAGTAGTAGTAGTAGTAGTAGTAGTAGTAGTAGTAGTAGTAGTAGTAGTGGTAGTAGTAGTAGTAGTAGTAGTAGTAGTAGTAGTAGTAGTAGTAGTAGTAGTAGTAGTAGTAGTAGTAGTAGTAGTTAGTAGTAGTGGTAGTAGTGGTAATGGTAATAGTAGTAGTAGTAGTAGTAGTAGTAGTAGTAGTAGTAGTAGTAGTAGTAGTAGTAGTAGTAGTAGTAATAGTAGTAGTTGTAGTAGTAGTAATAATAGTAGTAGTAGTAGTTAGTAGTAGTAGTAATAGTAGTGTAGTAGTAGTAGTAGTGTATAATGGTAGTAGTAGTAGTTAGCTAGTAATAGTAGTAGGTAGTAGTAGTAGCTAAAGTAGTAGTAGTACTAGTAGCAGTAGAAATAGTAGTAGAAGAAGTAGTGCTAGTGCTAGTAGTAGTAGTAGTAGTAGTAGTAGTAGTAGTAGTAGTAGTAGTAGTAAGTGGTTCTTGGTGTGGACATTTTAAAAACACGATATATAAAATATCTCTAAAACATCAATACGATTATCATTTTTTATATGTCTCCCACCTCATTAGTAATGATTGTCCAAAGGAAATTCAAGCTTATAATGGCAAACTGGGAAGTCATATTGGTGCACTGTTAGCATGCTAGTTGTTATTAGTATGAATGGGATGACAAAACTTCACTCTGGTCTTTGAAAGTTGTGAAAAGTGCTCATAAAGTTGATCGCTGTGAGAAATAAGGATGCTCTGAACGCATAAGGAAGAACTTTGGACCTGTTTGGATCTAGTTTTGGTTTTCATGCTTTTAAAAAGGTAAAAATTGGGGGGTACCACACATTTAACCACATCAATTAATCAAGCAGCGGAGTGCACACACAACAGCTGCTGGACTTCATGAAGAACAAAGTACAAAATGGCCGCTCAGCCCTGATACTGTGGAGGGAAGGTGGAACAAAAGCTCCATGAGTGATTGGGCTGTTAAGATTGTCCTGAGTCCAAATTTGCATCAGTTCCACAGAGCAATGACTCACCCATTCACTGCACTGCATCGTGGGTAATTATGGACATTTGTATTCACTGACCTGCAGCCCTTTGATCACACACAATGTAAGTCTGACTATATAACATGATGGATTATCAGATTGTTCTTCACGTTCCTGGTTCAGCTGCATAATTTCAGATGGAGGGCAGGGGCCACGACTCTCCGAGATCCAATGATTTTTAAAAGAAATAAGGAATTTGAAAATCCTCATATATTACACTATTTTCTATGTACTAATGTAGTCTCTTCATCACAAACAGACCTGGAGTTGTGTTGTGTTTCATTCACACATGTTTAACACACAAACCCTGCACATTTAGACTAAGTTCTTCTCTCAAACAATTTTTTGATATCATATGGTAATACAGGAAGTGCTCATGTGTGTTTTTAAACTTCATACACCTTCACTAGAGGTTTTTAGATCAGGGGTCCCCAACCCCCGGGCCGCCAAAGTGCGAAATCTCCTTACACTTGCGTACACTGTGTGGATCGCGACTATGGGAGGAAGTGCACGTCTCTAAACCAGGTCTAAACCCAGAGGAAACCAGTTCTAAACCAGGATTAAAACAGGTCTAAACCAGAAAGAAACCAGGTCTAAAACAGGTCTAAATCAGGACTAAACCAGAAGGAAACCAGGTCTAAACCAGGTCTAAACCAGGTCTAAACCAGGTCTAAAACCAGGTCTAAAACCAGGTCTAAACCAGGTCTAAACCAGGGAAAACCAGGTCTAGGAAACCAGGTCTAAACCAGGTCTAAAACCAGGTCTAAACCAGGTCTAAAGGTCTAAACCAGGTCTAAAACCAGGGAAACCAACTAAACCAGGTCTAAAACCAAGATGTCTAAAACCAGGACTAAACCATAGCACGTGGACCATGCATTGTGCCTCCTCCTGCGCGCCACATGAACCGTGACTCTTTCTATACGGCACCAGTCTGTGAAAATATTGTCCCTAAGGGCACCACCGCAGCCCCCCACCCCAACCCCTGCCCTTGCAGTTTGCAGTGGTCCAACGTTCTTCCTCACTTATTCAGTCCATCCTAATTATTCACCATGATGAGTTTATAATGAAGGAATGTAATGCATTTGTGTCAAACATTAACACAAAACATTTGTCCTGTTGACTAATTGAATTTCCTCTTAAAGCTGTAGTATTGGAATCAGTATTGGAACTGAAAGTTTTTGACAACAGAAAATCTGTGTATCATTCTTTCACTCATTTTTCAAAATAAAACCAAAAATAAGAAAACAAAAAAACAACTATTTTCTTCATTATTTGTCTCCAAAACCAAAATGAAAAAACGGATAACGATTCTGGGACTAGACCAGGACTGGTCCCAGTCTCAGTCTTGATCTCAGTCCTGATCTCTGTTCTGGTCTCAGTTCTGGTCTGGGCCTAGTCTCAGTACCGGTCTGGTTCTGGTCTGGTCCCTGTCTCAGTCCTGGGCTAGTCCCAGTCTTAGTCTCAGTCCCAGTCTCAGTCCTGATCTGGTGAAAAAAACACAAACGAGTGCTTGAAAAAAAATGTGTGCACTTGCAGATTGAAATTTTCACTGGTGGAAAATATTTACACGCGGGAGAAAAATATGAATAAATGTGTAGATTGATATTTGCATGAACAGAGTGACATCTGTGTCTATTATGACAGATACAAGTCCTGGTTTAGTCCTGGTTCAATTCGGCATTGCCGTTTTATGGAAACAGGAAACTGCATTTTGGTTTTGGAGACAAATAATGAAGAAAATAGTTATTTTTTCGTTTTCTAATTTTTGGTTTTATATTGAAAAATGAATGAACGAATGACACAGATGACAGAAGTTGCTTATACTATATATCTGTACTGGGGAAAGACATTTTATTCAAATACACGGGACAAATCGAGTACAGGGCCTTTAAATTTCTTCCTCTTATAATAATAGTGACTGTGTTTGAATAATGCTCCTACATGTTGCGTTGATTATAAAAGGTAAGTTTATTTTATTCATAAAAACAGAGAAGACATTGAACTTTGTGCCAGGTTTTGTTTCATGTGAGTAAGTTTAGTAATTACACAGATATGAGCTAATGAAAGGTTTAAATATCTGCGTTTTGACAGTTAAACAGCAAATTGTAGCACATTTTCTGACCTCGCCTCCAGCTCCCCGAGAGGAGACTGTGTGCTGTCACTCATCATCACCTTTCCCTCGTCAGGAGTTTAATTTTAGCTCAATATGCAAATGTAGAAGTGAGTGGAGAAACTAGACTCATAATGTTTGTAACTTATAGTACTCAAGGGCTTCAGGCAAATGATTCTTCTATGATTTGAAGGATTTAGAGTTGTTTGTCGTGAGTTTATAACACACTCAAAAACATTTTTTCTTGAGAGAAAGAAGTATTTAAGTATTGTTATTTTTGTATCAGAATTTAAACTTTGAAACCATCAGAATCGATATATTATCAATAACTGGTATTGATCTGCCCATCTGGATGTAAAATAGGTTCTAAAACATATTTCACAATAGGCTCTGTGCACAACAGCGCCCGGCAACCACACTGTTAGTATCACTACTTCCTTTCCAATAGATGTGAGAAATTTGTTTGCGAACTCCTTAAATGCAAAAGGGAATCAGATGTGTGTGACTGCAAACCTCTGTTCAAACTGTTTCCCTTCCCAACGGAATTGAAAAATAGTGAAAGGTGAAGGCGAT